TTAAGGAAGTGTTTTACTTTTTATAAATTAAAAAAGTAGCCTACTGTTGAGAAAATTAGGTCAGGGAAAGGTTTCACATCTCTGTAAACTTGAACCTGCAAGGTGACATTCCATCAGCACTGTTCTGTAGCATCCTTCAGTCTGTCCCTTACCTGTTCCCTTTGTTCTTGTTCTTCTGCCACTTTGGGGGAGTCGGGTGAGGGGTAGAATTTCCAGCCAGACCACTCAGTAAATTCGCCTGCTCTTCAGTAACCTTCATAAAGCCTTTTAGAGCTATGGATCTACTCTAATACACCTTAAAGGTTAATACTCTAGGAAAGTCCCTTTGATAGCATTATCAGTGTCATAGATTGCAAAGGACTCCTCTAAAGAAACCTGCTTCAATTCCCCTGGTATGGTGCACAAGCTACAGATAAATTTGTATAAAGTTGTAAACTATTTAATATTTGTTTTTTATACATCAACATTAACATAGTTATAGTCTTAGCTTTGGGGAATTAAAGAAGTAAATTTAGGAAATCAGTAAGAGTTTTTGCTACTTTTATCTACTTAAATGAAAGTTGAGGCAACTTTTACTTGATGCAAACCTGGAAGTGTTCAGTGAGAAGAACACACGGTAACTGGCCGCACATCCTGCACTGTGATTTGCACAGTGCCTTTAGCTCTGGGGTTATGTGCATGTGACCCTCTGGGACAGAGGGAGTGAAAATGGACTATTTTAACATGCTTCTGTCTTGCTGGTTTAAGGACTAAACAAACTTAACCTTATTAAAGTGGACAGTGTTTGTTTCTGGCTCAGAAAATCTGGAAAAGCAGCAGCTCTGCTTCCAAATGAGCCATGGCCTTGGCAGCCAGGCACGCACATAGCTGCACAGCTGGGAGGTGACCCGCACTGCAGTTGAGAGCAATCCCCTCATGATATGAAATTCACTTGAAAACATTCAAGCTTATTGAGGGCAGCAAAAGCAAAACATTTTCTTTTGCTACTGGCACCTCGATTTTTCACACCACGAAAAATCTTGATGTTGAAGAAACAGTTGGGATGGGAAACGACATTGTGCATGTGCCTTACTGAGATCTAAAGATCTAAAAATAGAGCAGAATTTACTCACAGCTTTCTCCACTGTGCCTCTTCAGAGCCCAAGCTTGCAGTTTCATAGAAGAGAAACAGTCCTTACAGCTGTAGCTGATGGTGAGAAGAGAAACAGTCCTTCAGCTGTAGCTGATGGTGAGGATTCAGGACACAGTGGGAGTGAGAGAGGGTCTGGAGCCCGACTTTCCTGAATCAGTCACCAGTACTGAGAAGGGGTGTGTCTCACCTGTTCCTTTGCCTGTGAGGAGCCATCCAGTGTGTGCAGTCACTGGACATGGGTATCTGTGGGGTTGGTTGGGACTGTGCAGACTTGATCTCTTGCCCTGTGTTTTTCATCCCTGTCCTGCTGCAACTTCCATCTGGTTTATTGGGCAGATTTTACCCAGAAGAGTGAACACATGAGCATAGTTCCTTTGCTGGAGGCCAGATTATCTCCTCCTGGTTTCTGTGAGGCCCTCTAGTGCCACCCAGTGTCCAGCGATGCTGTATTGCCACAGGCATCCTCGTAGTGCGACAAGACACCTAGTTTCACGCTTTGGGGAAATTAGCCTACTAGGGTGTGCTGCTGCTGCCCAAGGGCCTGCTTCATTCTATAGTCAGCTGGACCCCAAACAACTTATTTCCATTGTAAACAAATGGCCAGGCCCGGCAGTAGCAGTTTCCTCTGGGGCAGCAGCCTGGCCATGGGCATCTGTTCCTCCTGCTAAGGTTTAAGCCAGCTCCCTAAGGTGACACCTTTCCTCCCCACAAGCAGGCCCCAAGGGTACAGATGCTGAAGGAGGCTGTGTGGACAGATGGGAAGGGACTGGGGCACACCTCTGACCATGACACAGTCAGTGTTGCCAGGATGACATCACTGCTGACCAGCAGAGAGCTCAGCAACTTGCAGGGGTGTCTCATCCCTGAAAGGCGGTGCTGCTGTTTCTGTAGAATAGGTTTTTTTCTGGTTGGTTAAAGAGTTATATCCCTTATTCTCCTTTAAATTTATACACGACATAATTCACTAAAAAGTGAACTTGTAAGTTACATTTTAGGAGTGCTCAAAAATGAGTTTCTCTTTCCCTGCCATTCCAGCAGAGCTGACCCAAGTCCAGCTCCACCGATGCGGTTGCCACTCACAGTGGGACAGAAGTGCATGCAGGTCCCTGAGGGGAATGCTGGGTAGAACTTTTGGCATGTTTTGAACATTTTCCCTCAAAGAACAACACAGAGGCTTAATATGTGTCACAGGAAACCAGCAGGTGAACTGTAGGCAACTGGCTGGTGAAGTCTCCAAGTTATAGAACATTTTATCAATAATTTACTTATTCCTATTTATGTACTCTTTAAAGAGTAGGTAAAGGGATAATGAAGGTTGGTTTTTAAGAGAAGCAGCTAATTTTCTAAAATACTATCTTCATGGTTAAGGAAGGCAATTACCTTTTTTAATGTATTACATTAATTTACCATTACTGCTCTTCAGTAATAGGTGACTTTAGTCACATGTGTTGGAAATGTCCCAGAAATAATCTCTTGGTTTTTCCCTGAATGAGGGAGAAAACACATCAACTAGAGCAGTCGTGGAAGTTTTAATCTTTCATGGACATCTCATTTTAAAGCTCATGGTTTGGAGAAATGTAGGTAATGTTTCTGAAGTGAACGTGTATTTGTAACCTGAAACAATGTGAATGTTAAATGTCACTAAGGTTGGTTTCAGGTCACATCACACAAGTTTCCCATGTGCTGCATTCAAGGTGCTTTGTTGAGGTTTCTGGAAATGCCTTAGACCAGTTTTTTAGAGTTATGTAGAAGTACAACATTAAAATATTCTCAGAAAAATTTCTCTTTGTAAAGGCAGTGACCGAACTGGTTTTAGGTCTCAGTTTCTATCATGCCAGGTTCATTCTTTTCATGACTGCTGGATGGTCGGCTTCCTGGCTAGTGGTTAGTTACACACTTCTCTAGGCCAGTAGTTGGTTCATGGTGCCCTTGCTCAATGTCAAAGTCCTTTGACATTGTGATCTAGCACTTCTTCCTTGCTGTGCTTTACATGTTCAGCCCTTCCCTGTCCCCTGCACATCTTCCCCCATGGAAAGGGGGACTCTGCCAATTTCATCTAATCTAAACTCAGCCAGTCAAGTTAGATGCTGCAAACCTCTCTAGCTAAATCTGAGTTGTTAAAAAATAAATTTCCAAATACTAACATACTGTGATCCCTTAGGTATACAAATTTGATCTGATAAAAATAATACACGTAAAAATGTTAAAACAAGTGTCTGGACAGTAAAAGGTAGTCTTTGTTGTTGTTCCTAGCATGTCTCTGTTTTCTATTTTGTCAGACACTATCATTGCTGTATAGTGCACTTTAGTTGAAAACTCAACTCCCAGAGGCATGAAACATTTAGAGGTGTGGCTGTTGTAGCATGTGAGCCTCAGTCCCCAAGGGACACAGTGGTATGTGCAGAGCCTCGATCATTGAGGCTTAGAAATGCGGCCAAGTATGGGGTGCTGTGGGCAGACCCCCTGTGGCAAGAGGCAGGCAGGGTATGAGGTTGGAAGGGCTCTAGGAGAGGAAAATATGGGATTTGCCTTTTGTGTGAATTACCATTAAAAGGATGGTTAGGACAAAAAGTTTCTATCCTCTGAATGAAAGAAGTTGGAATCAAAGTTAACTTTAATGCCTGTTAACACTGTCTAATTGTCCTAAGCTTTGGATCCATGTGGTACTGTTGCAAATTTGTAAAACTTTAGGAATTTTATTTGTCCTGTAAATTGGGAAAACTACAGCTCCAAGGTTTTTAGTGAATTGACTAAAAACTGAAGGGATCGCTGGAACATATGTTGAATCCTCTCACTTTGATATGTGGGAATTTGGAGGGTTGCTACTGAGCGGATAGTTTGAGAGGAGCCTGTACCTCGACCACTCACCCTGGGAAACCCTCATCCCACAAGGCCCAAGACCACCTGCAGCCCTGTCCCTGTTGGCATTTCACACCTTGTCCCACTACCTGGATTTCTGACATGTGACACGGCTACGCAAACAAGCACCATCCATTGACATGAAATCTGCACTGGAGCCCCTGCCTAGCTGAGGGGTTGCTGCGCTGATCTTTGAGTTCTGGTGGACTATGTAGGATTATAATACAATGGGTTCTTTCCTGGCATGTAAAGGTTGAGGGCTTTTGAGGGGTTTTTTTGAGCTTTTGTCTACAATCCTTGTTTGATTTAAAAGCACTAATTTACTATTGATCACATTAATTGAATTACGACTAGAGGGCTGTAAATGGGGACATTTATACAGCAGCATTACTGTATTGTTGGTTGCCAACTCTTAGTATGGAAACATGATTGACTTTCCCTATGTTGCAAATTCCTGTCACCTTTCCATATTTCATTAATGGCATCACCTCCAAGTGACTTGTCCAGTAGGACAATGACGTGGTATGTGAGACCTCCCCCCCGCCATGCTCAGATGTGGTGGCCACAGAGGTCCACTCAGGGGGTTGAATGTGCATGTAAGGAGCACTCGTCTCTGTACCCTTCCTGAGAAGATATTTGAAACTCAAGTTTACAAAAAAATTGCACTTGAATTCTCAAGTGCTATCCTAAACCTATGTAGGTTTTTATCGTTCGTTTGTTTTTGGTAAAATGAAGTGTGTCCGTCCTTCAATTTTAAAGCTCAACTGAGGAGTAAATTGAGTCTTTGATTATGGAGTTTGTTGGTTGAAGTAAAAGCTTTAATATAATAATATAATAAAGCATTTTTCTATCTGTAATAAGCCATAGTCACTACCATAAATACTGCTGACAGCCCTTAATTATGCTTCTTTTCTGAATTTTAAGATTTTAAAAATCCTTTTTTCTAGATGTATCCTATTCAGTAATGCCTGGTAAGCTCCTGCTAGTTAAGGGTGGGCGTGCTTTGAAGCCTGTTCTCCTGTGTCACCCGCACACCTGCGCTCTCTCTTGCAGCCAGGAAGGCAGACGGAAGAGCAGAGGAGACGGCAGCGGTGGCCTCGGCCTCAAAGAGAAGAGCCCGCCCGGTCTGCTTGGTGGACAAACGACCATCGCCAAGACATCTCGCTCCAAAGAAGTCTCCTCCTTTTGCTAATGTGGCAGCAGCCAAACCGGCCATTAAAAAGGCACCCTCTAGCTTCAAGGGCACCATCTCCCAAAAGCCATGGCTCTCGGCCACCCCATCAGGTGGCGCTTCCACTGTCGGGCACAGGGCAGCTTCCAAACAGTTCCCTGGATCTGCTGCTTTGGCTGGAGCCATCGGGAAGCCGGTAGCAACTTCTCTTCCTGTGGCCTCTCCAGTCCCAGGACACCTTGGGACCTGGAGCCCTGCCCAGTCACAGCCCAGTTCACAAATTCGGCACAATATAAGACTCTCCTTGAAAGAGATTTTGTGGAAAAGGTGGGCTGTTGTCCTTGGTTTTTATCTGTGGAAGCTCTACTATGTATAGCGTGATCACTTTGAGATTGTCCCACTGTTTCAAAAATGTAATGTATCCAAATTCTAGGGGTTTATGTAGTTTCTTTTTCACTCCATTCAGAGTCAGTGACAGTGATGACTTAATCATAACAGAGAAAGAAGTAGGAAACATCACCCTTCATCTGGAGAAGGAAATGTTTAACTTGTTTCAAGTTACAGATGTTTGCTACATGAGGAAATACCGCAGCCTCCTGTTCAACCTGAAGGATCCTAAAAATCAGGTGTGTGTGGTCTCTACGTACTGCAGTATTCCTCATGCAGAAGGAAACTTGGCGTCTGTTTTCTATTAGCTGAGTTTCACAGTGATACATCAAACAGCATTTGCAACATTTATATTCTTTCCGTGAAAGTTAAAAAGTATTTTTATCCTCTGTGACACTTCTGTATGCCCCACGTACTTGGTGTTACTTGAGGATCTTTCTGTTCCCTACCTTAAGTGGACTCTTGTCAGGGATCTCACTGGCTGCCCCTGAAGTTCATCTTTTATTTCACCAGATTAGCTTCTTCTAAACATTTCAGTGCCAAATTACATGCCCATCCCTTCATCGGCTCTAAAGTAAAGTACAGATTCTTTAATCTAGAATATGGGTGTGTCCATATTCTGGCTTCAGACAGCCTTTTCTGCCTTATTTTCTTTCCTCTCATCACTTGAGTGAGCCTGACAATTTGGGCTACTTCACA